TGGGGCTCAATCCTGCCTCTCCGACTTCCTGGGATTGGAGGTACCATGGGATCGCGGCGAGGCTCACAGGACTGTCCTGAGAAGCAACGTAATACATGTGAAGCATTCAGCGTGGGGCCCTCGGGAAGTACTCAGTGATTTGCGGAGGCCTTAGATCAATGCTTCCCAAAAGTGGGTCTCGAGCCTACTTTCAAAGGCAATATTTGATATCATGATCCAAGAGACACACAAACACTCATATAATAATACTAGAAATAATGACCCTGCTTATACAGTGCTCACTATGTATGGACTGGGCATTGCAGCGGCAGGATTTGAGTCCAAGGGTCCTGGTAATGTAGTGCTTTCCGTCGCCACCCTCCCTGCGGCCTTGTATTTGCCAGACGTGGGAGAAGCAAAAATTTCAGCAGTCACTAGCAGCTCCCACTGAGAGGGACACATAGTGAGAATTCCTATTCCACTGTATATTTCATTTCATTAAAAAACAAGCAAACAAAACACTGACCTTAACCTTTTAAATCAATTCCATGACTCAGGACACATGGTTTGAAAAATACTGTAAGGGTGTATGAAAATGTTTTGGAAACATAAGGAGAAAGTTAAGCAAGAACATGTGTCTCGTCTTGGGGGCTTGACCATGTTACTGTGCACGGCAGACCTCAAAAACAGCGACAAACCAAAACAGGAGTACATGGAACATTTCCTAAATTCAAGAAGCCTCCCCCAGTGGCCTCAGCCGCTCCTTGAGGCGGGGGTACTCATTTGTTGGCTTTTTCACGGGATTTCTGTGACTGTCAGACAGGAACGGGAATCGGACGGGAGAATGGTTGTGCGTCAGCCCTCAGCTCCCACCTCTTCTCCAAACATCCCTCCCCTTGAAAAATCTAAAAGCACAGAAACCAACTTTAAGAATAAATGATTCTATTACGTGCAAGAGAGCAGATTCGAGGACGTGGAAGAACACATGCTCGCACGGGGCCGAGCATCTAAACCGCTCTGGACGTTGCTTATTCTGCGGGTGAGCAAATACATATAAATTAAAAAGGGAAACTTAATTTTTACAGTGGGCTGGAACTTCAGCATAAAACACCTTCTTTAGAGTAAATGCTAGTGTTTTGGTAACAACAGGATGACAGAGTGAAATTTAAATTCTGGGTCTATCACTGCCTATTTCCCCTTTCTTCCAAAGAATAATTGCCAACAGGGGCCCCTGGGTGGCTCAGTCAGTTAAAGGTCCAACTCTTCATTTCGGCTCAGGTCATGATCTCAGGGTTGTGAGGTCGAGCCCCACGTCGGACTCCATGCTTAGTGCAGAGCCTGCTTGGGATTTTCTTGCTCTTTCTCCCTCTGCCCCTCCCCTCAACCACTCATGTTCTCTAAGTAAATAAATAAATAAATAAAATCTTAAAAAAAAAAAAAAGAATTGCCATCAAATGTTATCTCTACAGGAAACAGGTAAAGACAGTTTAGAGCTACACCATCCAGCATGATAGCCACTAGTCCCATGTGGCTATTTAAATTAATTAAAATTAAATAAAAACTAGAATCGAGTCCCTCAGTTGTACGAGGCACATACCAAGTGCTCAACAGCCACATGTGGCTTGTGGCCAGCACCTCGGACAAATGATGGAATACAGAAAGTTTTACTGGACAGCACCAATATAGAGAAAGGCCATTTGCAGAGGCTAAAAGAAAAATGCTGATTTCTTAATCGCTAGAAGAATTCCAAGCCCGACTCAGCAGCGCTGGCTTGATTTGCTCCACAGCGAGGTTGGTCTGCCGGAAGATTCCACCACAGTCTCGCACTATCATTGCAACTGCTCGTCCAAAATCTCTTCGCATGGAGACTTGCCATTGCCAAGAAGCTATCTTTTGCCATCCCACCACACCAGGAAAGGGTATTTGGCGAAAACAACAACTTGTTAGAGTTCTACTAACTTATAAGCTCGCTTGAAAGTACTCAGAACAACTGGTGAGAAGCCATGGAGACACAGGCCACTGGCAGAGCCAGGAGGAGAAGTCTGCCGTTGGAGTTAGTAGGGAGGCACTTCTGCCGTCAGCTCCGGGTAAAACCTTTATTACACACCAGAGTGTGCTCCTCGCCTTGTCATGAACGTGGGCCCAGATTCAGTAACACTTGGTGTTTGTATCACACTTGAGAGCTTTAGCTCAAATCTTACTTCAGCCTCTCAGAACCTGATCACCACTGTGGGGTGGATTCTGGGAGCTACAGACTCTGCTGGTGACGGGGGACACTGAGAGGCCATACGTTATCCTGTCAGTGTCTGTCTTGCTTCATTGGTTCCTGAAATGATCCCCAGTGGCCAGAGTTTCGTGGGAGCAAATGGCTCAAACTGCAGGCCCCGCCAGCTTCCCCGCGTGGGGACCGCAGGCCCTCCGGCTCTGGCCCGCTGGACCGCGGAGGTGCGCTCCGGTCACCGGGGAAACGAAGCAGGGCACGGACAAGAGTGTGACGCAAAGTGCTGTCCCTGTGGATGACTGCAGAGCAGGTGCCGTGAACGGACACCCCGCAAGGTCACGGCACACACGGGTGTGGTGGATCCAGAACGAAGCCTGACACCGGCCTTACTGGGTTCGCACAAACAATCACTGCCCAGCGCAACTCCCCCTGCGCGCAGCAAACTGTAAGGGGATTTGATGAGAAATCTGTGCCTTGAGCAACGGCGACGAAGATACCTTAACCCGGATTTAAACAACCCGGACGGCCTCGTGCTAGCGGCAGAGGAACGCGCGCTTTCCAGCTCCCGCCGCGTCAGGCCGAGGTCGGCGGCACCGACCCAGGGGTGGTCCCCGCGGGCCGCACTTCCTTCCCTTCCGTCTACCATGGCCAGTGCCTGAGCGTCCAAGCTGGGGAGCAAATCCAGAACGGACCGGCCCTTAGAAGGCCCGAGCTGCGGCCCCCAGAGGAAACGCGCCGCCCGTTCGGAGGCCGCAGCCTGGAAACGTCTCCGCGACGCGGGGGGAAGACAGTGCGGGATTTCGTGCACGACGGCTGAGCCCAAAACTCTCCGATCCGCAAATACCCACGCGTGAGCCCAACAAGTTCTTCCTCAAAGCCGTAAGCGGGTCCGCTCGCTAACGGCCCCCGCGGGGTCTCCAGAGTCGCCCTCGCCTGCGGCCAGGACGGCGGGGACAGCCGCGCGCCCCGAACCCTGCCGGGGTCGGAGCAGAAATGCCCAGCGGGAGCTCGCACCGCCGTCCGGCCTCGAAACCCCCGCAGGCCGCCCCGGCTCTTGCGGACGCGCCCCGAGCACGGCCGGGCCCCGCGCAGTGGGCCGGGCACCGCGGACCGTCCGTGGGGCGCTCGGGGCGGGACGCGCGGACGGGAGCGACGAGCACCAGCAGGGAGCGTGAGTGTCACGCGGGAGCGACACTCCTCTGAGGCGGAGAAAAACGCGCACCGAGTCTCCCTCCGCCACCCGGAGCGAGTCGCTCCCACCGACGAGCGGCCCCGGCAGCCCCGCCGCGCGGAGAAGCCGAAAAGTCCGCGTCCTGCCCGCGTGCGGCCGGAGAGACGGCGCGGCTGTGCGGGGCGGGAGGGCGGCGCGCGGGGCGAGGCGAGCTCGTGCCGCCCCCGGTCCCTCCCCGGCCCCCTCCCGGGCCCTCCCCGGTCCCCCGTCGCCCGAGCCGGCCCGACTCGGCTAACGGTCAAGTGAGCCGCGGCGGCAGGAGCCCCGGAGGCCGAACCTGGGGTCGCTCCCGACCGAGTCCATCGGACAACAAAGGGCCGGGCCGTGCGGCGGGGGCGGCGCGTGGGGACACCTGTCACCGCGCGGGACGGGGCCGCGGCCGGCGGGCGGCGCAGGGGCTCGGCGGACAGACTGCGGCGGCGGCGGGGACCGAGGCGCGGAGGACAGGCGGGGGCAGCTCCGGGCGCGGCCGGACACGCGCGTCTCCCCAGCGGGGGCTCGGCCGGGCGGACCCGCGCCCGGGGCGCTGCGGGGCTGGGGCTGGGGCAGGGCGGAGCGGGGCCCCCGCGGCCGGGAGGACCCCGGCGCCCCAGTCCCGCAGCAGCGCCCGCCGCCCCCGGTCTCCGCCTCCAAGCTGGGCGCGGAACCGGCCCCCGCCCCCGGCTGCCCCGCGCCCCCAGCTGCCTCGCGCCCCCGCTGCCCCGCGCCCCCCGCTGCCCCGCGGCCCGGCGGAGGAGGGGGCGCCGCGCCTACCTGGTCGGGAGCGGCGGGGCCGCGGTCGCCTGGCGGGGCCGTGACCTGCGGCGGAGGCAGCGGCGGCGGCGGCGAGGCGGGCGCTTCCTTCAGGAAGGGGTGGGACCTGCGCGCCCGCCCGCCCCC